CAGGATGAAAGTGCCGCTGGCCAAGGCTGGGCTAACCAGGAATGATGGCAATGCCCCTGTGATAACTTGTTTAAGAAGGAGAAAAAGGTTATTGGGCCGATGAAAATGTGCTCAGAGAGGAGTGAGAACACGTGAGAGAAACATCTCTGCAGGCCCCAAGGTCAGCGAAGGAAGGGCAGGAGGTGCTCCAGGTGCTGGAGCAGAGATTCCCCTGCAGCTGGTGCTGCAGCCCATGGAGGGGCAGCCGTGCCCCTGCAGCCATGGAGGTCCACAGGGATACAGAAATCCATCTGTAGGTTATGGAGAAGCCCTGCTAGAGCAGGTGGCTGTGTGCAAGAAGGCTGTGAACCCATGGGAGGCCTGTGCTGGGACAGGCTCCTGGCAGGGACTGCAGGGCTGTGGAGAGAGGAACCCATGCTGGAGCAAGTTTCCTGGAAGGACTTGTGACCCGCTGGGCGACCCACACTGGAACAGGACTGACCCCATGGAAGAGTGACCCACACTGCAGCATTTTATGTAGAACTGTTGCCTGTGGAATGGAATCAAGCTGGAGAAGTTCCTGGAGAGCTGTCTCCTGTGAGACGGACCCCATGCTGGAGCAGGACTCCTCTCCAGGGACAGTGGCAGAAACACACGATGAACTGGCCATAAACTCCATCCCGCATCTTCCTGTACTGCTGGGGAGAAGGTAGAGCTGGGAAGAAGGGATGGGTTGGGGGGAAGGTGTTTTTAACTCTTATTTTACTTCTCATTATCCTGTGATACTGTTTGGTGGATGATCTCTGCTAGTCCTTATCTCAACCCTTGAACGTTTTGTTCTATTTTCTCTCCCCTTTCCAGTTACCAGGCTGAGTGATAGAGCACCTTTGACGGGTGCCTAGCAGCCAGCCAAGGTCAGCCCACAACACACTGGAATGCTTTCAGTAAGTCAAGAGGCAGTTATTTACTTCAGACATTGCAATAAAAAATCTGAATCATATTTTAGATCATTTCACTATTTATAGCTGCTGGGGATAAACATTCTGCTGTACAGTGTACGATTTATGGATAAAAGGATTTATTGCAAACATCACTTTTCAAAAATTGGAACACAGCAGAAGACTCATGGGCCCAGACATATCCTTTACTTTTATACTTTCCCATATAAAGCTTAACATTTTCAGTGCCCATATCTACTGGTTAGAAACCAGTAGAGATTTTTTTATCCCCATGTCATCAACAATATTCCAGCGATGGTAATGACTTGGCTATGTCTCAGATTTCTGTAGAACTGACAAAAGCAGGAAATTATGCTTTTTTTTCCTTTCAGAACTGAGTGAGAGCAGCGATATATTCAGGCTGGAAGTGCTAGTTAGCATATACACCCAACAGACTTCTGACAGAGAATGCTCCTCATTACCTGAAGCCAAATTTTTAATACTCTTTGTTTCAGAATTGTATAATTAAATTCCAGAACTTCAGCTGTACTTGCAGGTAAAGTAAGTTCTTTAGGTAAGTATAATACTCTGCAGTAATGCCAACATACTTTAGATAGCCCAGATATAGACATGCATCAAATTGAAAGTGGGCAGCACTGGAGTATGGGAATTGGGTTGAAAGCAACTTACTTCAGCTGGGAGTGAAAAAGAAATTCCTCTTCATGGAATGACAGTGGCTACACACCCAGTATTGCACAATCAGTAATTTAAATGTGGTAACATTTTGTTTGATAAATTTCAATTTAGTGTGTATTTGGATAAAATTATTATCCCATCCCTAAACAATTTTTTACCTAACAGGCACCTTTTTTGGCCTCACTGGATCACTTATTATTACTTAAAATGCCTTTCAAGACAACCAAATTACAACACTTATCTGTGTGGCTTATATATGCTGGAAAGAACAATCAGTCACAGGTAACTAATGGATTTTATTTCGACCACCAGAGAGGTGTTCCAACTTCAAAGTTCAAGAGAGAAATACTTTAACAGATAATGACATGCAGGTGTATGCTTTCTCTGTTTGCAGCTTGTTTTTCTGCTTCTCATTAACTTGAAGTTTAATATACTCTTTCCTTTTACAAGTATTTAGTATGTAGAGGAATAACATGGACTGCAGTTACATGTTTTTCTTCAGTTCAGTTATTTACAGTTCACCCTGAATATAACTGAGCCCCAGTAACTTCTGCAGACAAAACACCAAACAAGACAAAAACATACTGTCTGTAAAAATACTTGGTTAGCTGGAAATTTAGTTTACCAAAGACACTAAAAGAAGCAAGCATGTAAGATCTTCAACTATAGAAGCCAGTTCTGTTTAAAACAATTTGCTTTGCTTTGCCATTTCCTGAATTCCTCTCCAGACCTCCCTAGCATGGACACACTATTCAGACATGCTCCAGTACTACAGCAAAAATGAGTCCATTAACTGTGAAAGGCTTCAAGACACCACACAACAAAAATTTTCCAATTGAACAGGTAATAAATATCAAACTGCTACGGTAAATGGAAGTTCTACCAGTTTATTCTGGGGTCTCCTGACACATATACAGAACAGACCAATTACTGAACTGCAAACGCAGAGAGCCCAGCCCACTGCTCACGCACACACACCTCCTTCAGATGATTTAACAACCATCACTTGGGGTCAGACGTGCATCCAGAGAACTACCATTAGCCACAGCTGCACGCAGCCTGATTTCCATAGGCCAACTCTACCGCACTCCCACGTTCTTCATTGCATTATTCCATAAACTGGGAGAAAATGCTGGGTTTTAATGTGTCCAGTTTTGTTGATTCCACTATCCTCAGCATACAACTCATCAATGCCAGCTAAGAGAATTATCATCAAAAAGTCATGTAACATCTTTTAAATCCCTGTAAGGTTTGCTCAAGGGCCAAGACATTTACTATCCATTTTCTGTATTTCCAAATAAAAATGTATTGAAATTAAGGAGCAGCTTTAACACCTGTAATTTAAAAGCTATGCATTCTGTTTAATACACCATCTCACACACCTGACTTACTACCAGGACTCCAGGTTCCAGATTCCAGGAACCACCACAGTGAAATGAAGAAAGAAGTGATGTTTTGGCTGGAAATGACAGTGTCAACAATCAGTTCAGACAACAGCACCTGAAATACAACATTAACACCTTCTAACACAAAGCCTGTATTCCACACTCTTCCCCTTCTTTGAGACTTGTTAGAGATGCTAGGAAACAGCCAAGTCCTGCCACTGCTCTGCAAATTACACACCTCAGTCTCAGAGCACAGAGCTCACTTCTCAGTGGGGACGAGGTCAATCTTTAGGTTGAAAAAGGAAATTCTGGTTTGAGCAAAACATTACTTGAGAAAGAGAATGTAAAACTGCTGTATGAAACCTCTTGTTCACATGCTTAACAGAAAAATGTCATCTTAACTTTCACTTGAACACACCTAACATTTACTCTGGGTCTTATGATCTGATGACATTGGAGGCATAAGAGGAAAAAAACCCATGTAATTTCAAGCCATACTCACTTTTGGTGATTGCAAAGCCAGTATAAAATAAAGAGGCCTAGAATTTGCACTACATTACAGTTAAAGAATGTCGTAAACATTTTTATCACAAACAGAATTGACAACATGTGGCTGTGAGTAGATGGACACAAAAAATCCCCCAGACCAGCCCAAAAAACTCCCCAAGTTACTTTGACATTAAATCATATCTCCTGAAGCACCAGTTTGTGTATAGAAACTCCAAATAAAAACAAGGGCACTAGAATCTGTCAAGTTGAGATACACATTACAGAAATTTGTCTTGACACTTTTTCAAGGTATATTGTGTACAAAGAATACTTTTCCTACAAGCAAATTCTTCCTAGATACTTAATTTTCAATAAAATCTTGTTTTGTTCATCAGTTTAATTTGATTCACAAAATCTGACAAAGACAGTGTAAGAAATTTGTCAGTGAGAGAAGATGATCAGTCCAATACAGGGAAAATATAAAAAATTACAAGAAACCTACTTACAATGGCTGTGGGAAAAGAAAGACAAAAAGAAAAGAAGCACAGTGCCATCTATTTGCCTTATGATTTACCTTAAGGATGTAAGAAGCTGTAACTAAATTTACCTAGAACATTGTTAAAGCTGCTAGAATGTAAGAAATAGAGAAAAATATTATGAAAAGGTACTACTAACCTTTTAGATGAAGTAGGTAATTTTAAAGGATATATACAATGGTAAGATTATGACAAATACCACTTGGTGACTTTTTTCTTTCTCATTTTTATACTGTTCATGTAAAAGGATTAACAAAGAACATAAAGGTGAATTCTAGCCCAAAACCTCTGTTATGAGGTAAACTCAAGAACAAACATCTGCAACTTGGAAGAAAATTCATCCTAAGATGTAACTTATCTCAAACCAGCCACCGTTTACATACCATAAATTGCTATTTCAGTATTTCAGTATTAGTTTTGTATAAAACTAAACTATAAGGATGCATCATCTGCTTTAATGCTAATTAGGCATTTTACTGTCCATCACTTGGAGGACTTTCCTTGTTGTACCAAAATACAAAATTGACCAAAGTTGAGATTTGATTATCCACTCGGCTTTTTCACGCAGCCAGTATTATTCTTTACCTAGCAGCAACTATTTAAAGAAAACTCAAAGCGGGTAAGTTAAGCCATGAAGCACACTGAAATCTAGGTTTAGCCAGACTGGGCAAGTTACTATTCAACGGAAATGAGCAGCTTCCTGTTGTCAGGGCAAATAGCGAGCAACTTCCATTTCAAGCTGCGGTATTTTGTGCTCCTTCAAAGATCTGCACCATAACTTCTATTTCAATAGTGTTGCAGGTGAAATTTGCTTTCAGGTGAAGCAGAGACACTAAATGTACTAGAATGTTTTAGTTCAAGTACTAAATGCAAACGTACTAGAACATTTCAGTTCCTTGTTCCTGCTTCTAAGTATGTTTCAAGTTCACAAAGTTTTGTTTTCCAAATAGAAGGGCTCGGACCTCTTTCCACCGCAACACTCCTCCCCTCCAGACTTTTTTTTTTTCTTTTTTTTGGCTTCGCTCCACTGTCGGTGCTCTTTCAATGCAAATTTCCTATTCAGAGCTTACAAAAGACGGAGTTGGCAGCTGCCAAGCCAGCCAGTGAGCGTGAAAACCACTGCTGGGAGAAGTTTTTACCAGGGAGCTTGTAACGTGAGTGGTTTCACTCCGCAGTTACGCAAAAAGCTTGAAAGGAGCGCAACTGAAACAAGACACGTGCAGAGAAGAGGAAGCATCACCTGGACCGTGTTTCGCTTTACCTGTGGTCAGGTAAGACTGCGAACATGTACCTATAGAGATCAACAGAGCTGTGGAACGTCTGACCAATCAGGTTTCTAAAAAGGTTAAATCCACACTGAACTGTGATCTCTTTTATTTAATTAGCAGTATGTAAATAAGATACAATTCTACAGCCGGAACTGCAGGATTTTTGCTAGTAGTATTTCAAAGCCTAACTGGCACATCTCAGAAAAGTTTCTTTTACCACCACCGTGCAGACTTCAGCTGCATCACCACGCTTGCCTCTGCCCCAAGAGCTACAGGTCAGTCACGCGCGGCCCGGCACACGCGGAGCACGGCTCACTCCGCGCGAAAGCAGAAACATTGCTGGGAGAACAGCGGAAAGCTAGCCTAGGAGGAGCGGAGGAGTTTCGGTATCGCAGAGCAGCCTTCACCCGAGCACATCGGCGGTGAGGCAACTCTCCCCGCGTGGTTCCGGGCAGCTCCCACCCGGAGCGCGGCGCCGGTACCCGCCGGCACAGGAGGCGGCAGCGACCCGGCCCCAGACCCAGCGCCGCGTTTCCCCCCCGGCGGAGCCCAGCCTTCCGCCGGGGTCGCCGCCGGGCCCCAGCCGCTGCCGGCCCTCCCTGCCCCGCGCTCGCCCCGGGCCGGGCGGGGCCGCTGGAGCCCCGCGCCGCCTCTCTCTCGCACCAGCGGCAGCTACCGAACCCTAAATACAATCGCTGGTGTCTGTCGAGCTGCATGCAGAGGCGGTAAAACACCGGGCAGCTGCTTGCCGCGAGCCTGACGAGATGCATGCTCTCTACTCGTGCCCACTGTGTGGCTCGCGTAGGGGCTGCTAGGAGTTAAAGAACACGTCTTGACACTATTACAGCCAGTGAGGAGAGGAATTTGTGCCAGGAAGGTGCTAATTCCAGACTTGGCAGGGGCAAGATCTGTTTAGCAGAACTCGGTCCGTACATTTCCGCTGGGACAGACTGTGAAAAGCAGCAGCTCACACACCTATCGATGAAGAAAAAACATCCCAAATTACGGGACAGGTGGCCTTTGCAACCACCAAGAGCCTCCAAAGTTCCTGCTGTGGATACCAGGATCCTGGGCTGCATAAAGTAAATACTGCCTAATGTCCTAGGGTAAGGTTAAAGCTTGGAAATAAGGATGTTCTACTGATAGTGGATACAAAAAATTGCCAAATTCACAGACCACGAGGACATCAGACAAAGCTCCCAAGATAAGGAAGACACCAATAAATCCAATTCGGCGACCGTACTACAGTAACTTTGACTGGGTAAAAGGTAACTCCAGTGGGGAGATTGCAACCACCAGATGATAGCCCTCCGATCCAAGAAATCCACTGACTCAAAAGCAGAGAAAGAACTAATTAGCATAGGAAGCAATGGAGTCATTAACCAATAGAAAATAGGATACTAACTAGAGAACCATGTAACTTGCAGCTAATAAGCATGGATTCCTTTATTTGCTAAAATGCATAACAAAAAATTTACATAGTCAGTTTCATCTTGTGTACCCAGCACCTCTTCCTGCACAGAACTTACCAAAAGAAGAATGAATTAGGTCCCCCCACCCCACCACTGAGAAGCCCAGGATGAAAAAGGACCAAGACACCGCTGGATCTCTAAGTGGTGACTGTCTTCTGCTGGCACTCTCTCTTTCCCCTACACACCAAAAGCTACAAATAAAGTCAGTATTGTTGAAATGGCATTTCATCTCGTTTGTTCCTTAATTTGGGCATCTCTCACTAATCAGAGCACAACAGGTGCATTCATACTTGTACCTCTGCTAGAGGTGGCAACATAGAGGTGGATGAAGCACCCCATGACCTTCACAGGTTTTCAAACTTAAATGAAACTGAAAAGGGGATTCAAAAGTTAAGTTGTGGCAGACAACAGAAAGTGCCATTACTACATCACCCTCATTAGACTGAAAAATAATTTTGTTTTGCCTAGTTCTGTTACTTACACAGAAAAGAAAAAGAAAATGACGCACAAAAACAAACCCCCAGCAACCAGTCCCCCTCCCAAACACCAAAAAGTTAGAAAAAGGAAAGACAAAGCATGAGACCATAAGACACTAAAAAAAACACCAAACTCAAAATCATGCATATTTTAGAGCTAGAAATGGAAGGAATAAGAAACACTACAAAACTTGGTAAATCAGTATCTTTATTTTATAGAAAGTAGTTTGATCAGTGTGCTGAACCTGCCATTAGCGATGGTTTTGCTATTTTTAGTAAAAATAAACATTTGAAAATAATTACCTTGGAGCATATCATCTCCAAGCTTATTTCCCCTTAATCACTGTTGCTTTTTTCATAACTATTGCATCTAATCTAATACTGGGTGCTCTTAATAGGAAGGGGGTACCTAGTGTAGGATATCTCCATAGTTTATTTCCTGCAACTGGTTCTGAGGTTCCTAAAATGCAGTAGAACATGTATGACCTCACCATGTACCACCTTGGAGCGGTACAAAATCTGCATCTCTTCCACCTTTCTCCATCAACGTCCTGCAATGTCAGCTGTCAGCTGAGAATTTTCTGCTGTAAAGTCACACAACAAGCCAGTTTAAGTACCTAGATGTCCAGAGTTTTACCTTTCACAAGTTGCTGAAGTAATCATGAAGAACTTGGATCATGTGTCTAAAGTAACAGAATCAGTTAGCAACACAAGAATGACACACTTGTGACAATATTATGTACTGCTACAAAGACAAACACAAGTCACAGCTCCCACTCTGTGATATTTAAAAGGGACATTATCAACAACAAGCTAAATTATTTTGCTGGACAAAAAAGTATTATTGATTAAGCACTGGCAAAAGCAAATTTTAAGTTCAATTTGTACACATGGCTACTGTAAGCACTGGGACCTCTGTAGGCACTAGTACCCTTAAGTTTGAGTAACTTGCATAGCAACAGGGAAAAAGCATTAATTGCTGGAAGATAAAAGTCAGTGGAAGTTAAGGGCAACAGCCAGAGGCTTCTGAGTTCAGTTCTTCTCCAATGACTAGATTCAAAGTTGAGAATGTCCCTTTAAAAGTTTCACATACAACAGAATTTAACTCATTTTTAATCCATCATTACAAGAAAGCTACTGATAATTTGTCTTATAATAGTTAAACATCAATGAACAATATGCAGGTGAACAACTGATTTGTAAATGAAATAGCAGCAACATGGAACTCTAGAAGGTTGAGCTTCTGCAGGATTTATTGGAAAGATTATAAAGGTATGGCAAATACATTGTGATTTTACATAATTTAGTTTCAAGAATAGCTTATGGTAACTATAAACATTATTGAAAATGCCTGGTCAAGGTCAGTACTTTTCTGGTATAAGCATAAGTTTGCCAGGATTTTTCAAAGTGCAGCTTTACTCAGAAAAATTACAACATTGTATGTCTTGGCAAATTGCATTTTAAATCTGCTCAGTTTGCAGATGGTAAGACAGCTTTTTGTGATTGCCAGTACAACAGATTTGAGCTTGAAGTATTAAAGCTAATGAGATATAAATATTTAAGGACAAAACATCAAGGACATAATTATACAATACTGCCATGATTTTTGCACATGTAACTTTGTTAGTTCAGTGGGTGTATAAAACTGAGGCATGTATATAAAGCAGCTACAAAGTCACGGTTTCAGCTGATTCTAAAGCAGTGAGCTACTGTTTATCCCACTGTTTTCCTTCTTCCACAAGAGTAAAGAATATTAGAAACTCATCCACTGAGCAGATAACTCATACTCATTGGGCAAGTCTATTTTGTAAGGTGGTGTCACTTTTAGTCACTTTTCTGGTCCATCACTGTACTTAAACTGTTTTGAAATCACGTTCAATTTCGATCTCTAAGTGTTAAGGAAGAACAATTACAACTGATTCACTGAACAGCTGTACCAGTTTGAAATGCTGTCACATGTTTCTTCATGGCAAAACATTCACATTCTTTTTATTGCACAATTTGAAAATTCAGGTTTTGTGCATAAAAACCTTCATAGTGTTTGCACTGCAACTTGCGAAACATACATTTAAAATGACCTTAATACATTTTACAAAATCTTTTTAAACAACTTTATATTCTTAAGATAAAAGCATCCTGAGAATGTTACATAGTTCATTATGCAAGCCCTTCATTTCTGCTATGCTTTATTTATCCCCATAGTTCCTAATTTGACAGGTTTATTTTACAGTTAATATCTTGGTGCTATATTTCACAAAATATCTTTTAGCAAAAAGTACACCATTGGCATTCAAGTAATCCAGCCTCACATCTAATTTACAAACTAAACCTTTGTTAAACTCTCAAGTAAGGAAAAGTAAACCAAAATACATACAGAAACAGTTTAGCTGAAAAAAAAAAAAAGTAAAGGCCTTGTGCATTAATAATTTGGTCAAACATTTAAGTTATGCAGTTTAATATTTTGGCAAAAGAAAAAACCCTCTACATCTATCCTTCTCAGTTTGTTTACTTTCATCTGACACCAGATGTAAACATAAACATAAAGAAAGACTGACAGTGTAGAAGTACTTTGCTGTTGAACTACTTTTTCCTTTTATAAAATACTTACGAAAAACAGACAAACAAGAATGTAAGTGCTAAGAATGGACTATCTTTGGGCTAAATAAAAGTCTTACTGGAAAAAAAAGTAAAAATAAATTAGGTTGAGTTTTTCTTTTATTTCCTCTACAGACATCTAAATAAATAGTCTTTGAATTCTAGTGCCATATCCCAAAGCAGTATCTTCCTGTATCTTTTCGATCACATCTAAGGCTTCACACATAATCTTGACTATTTTACTAGGAAGATATCCATTCATATTTACATTTTATTTTTTTAAAGGGAGTGTTCAGGGTTAAAAATATATTTATTTTTAAAAGATCAGCCTGCCATCCTGATGGCAGTGATTCAAGCTATAGAACAGAAGACAAGATACAGAACATCCTTCAGTTTCTTATACTCTAGAAGAGAGGAAGGAGATCAGGCAAGTTAGAGGTAAACAGCCTGGATTTCAGGAATGGAAAGAAAAAGTGGCTCGTTACGTGAATGTCTGCATGACCAGGACTATTCATTCCTGGAGACTCTGCTTCTCTTCTGCACATAGGTATACATTTTTATTGTTGGCTGATTAAACAAATTGAGAAGAGAGACACTTATGGTGGCCACAGTGAAAAAACATTACCTAAGGTTTCCATCAGGACCGACATGCTTTTACAAGGAGCCAAGATGTTGAATATAAGCAGAGGTCATGCCCAGATAGTACACTCCAGGTGAGAGTGTAATTACCTCAAAAGGAAGTGTAAACCACTTCAGCAACATCTTTATAAATTATAACTATGTAATTTGGAGTCATATTTAGCTTTTATTTTAGGCAATGATCAAAATCTGAAGGACCTTTTAATCTTTAAGGCATTAGTGCATCAGGGACTAAAAGCTCCAGGTAATTAATAAATAGGGGGTTGGAGGCAGAAGGAGAGAAAGGAAAAAAATCCAAAACATCTTTGTATCACAAGCTATCATTGTGCATCTGCTTTGTGGGTTCGTTCCAGGAAAAATATTTCCAAGGATGGCAGAAGGGGAATGTTATTCACTATTCTGAGAAAAACATTAGATCATAAACTTCACATCATTTTTTAACACATCCTTTAAAGAGCTAAATCTATCAGGCAAGATTCTCATCTTTACTGTTCCATCAGCACCACAGGAGAATATGTGATTTGCTGGTCCTGTTTCAATTTGCATGACTCCTGTCCCAATGTTTCTGAAGAGAGACTGTCGAGCATGCTCATTGATGAAAGTGTGAAGAAGATTAAATGTAGACAGACTCCATACCTGGAAAAGCATCAAAACATTAATCTCTTATAAGGAAAATTACCATGGTCTCAAAATCATCAACAGTGAATTGTGCATTTACTTTTCTGATACTAACTGTAAAAGTAGAATATGTAGCAATCTGTAATGACACATTTATAGAATACTAGTACTCATTTACTATAATAAGCAATATAGAGAGACACTAAGGTATCAGTAATTAAAATGAGGACTGCATTAAGAAGAGGTAAAGGCTTACATTTCATAATTAATTTCATAAATGTGAAAGTCAGAGTTGAGAACAAATAGGATATATGATTGTTCCACACCTGCACAAGATTCTTTCTTAATGTACACAATACCTTTGCTCCCTCCCCCTCATTAATACCTTTATGTTGCCTTCGGCAGATCCTGTGACAAAATACTCTTCTGTAGGATCAACAGCAATTGCCTTGACTGGAGAATCATGACTCTGGAGTAACTGTTGCTGCTGCTTTAGGCGAAGATCAATTACACAGGTAAAGCCTTTTCTGCCACCAGATATCAACAGCTGGTGTTTTGGAGCATATGCTAGCACAGTTGCTCCACTATCATGACAGATAAAAGCTGAAAGCCAAAGGAAAGTAATTAAAATAAAACACTGTACTAACTTGCATTTTCCATCAACCTCTAATAGTTCAAGACAGTAGCAACAGTGACTTTGATGCTGTAATCCAGTTGACCACAACCAACCCACTTCCTGCAGTACCAATATACATGTAAAAACCAAGGTTCCCATCAGACATTCTGAAGCTACAGTATTCTCAAATTAAGCAATTAAAATAGGGATTAACAGAAAATTATATCCTTCTTTTCTATCCCTGTGTAATCACAAACTATTAATCCTTGACCAGAAAGAGATTATTTTAATAATCTACTATTAAAGTAACAGATTTGTTGTTTTAAGTAATATTTGGTTTTTTAAGTCACATATGGCCATCAGAAATTCTTCCTAAACTATGTGCACAAATCTCTTTCAAGTTTTCACTGGTCATTTTACTGCTAATTTGCTTCTTCTTACATTTATTTGGATATGTTTGCTCCCCTATATGAGTGGGAAAACAGAATGAATATTACAATTATCAGAACACAGCTTGGTATGCTGTACTTATAGTTCAAAGGGCCTATGAATTTACATTTAGAAATTCCATATACATACACTTAGGCATTCACTACACTTTAAGTACAAGGAGTTCACAACTCTCTGATCTCAATTCCGTAATTCAGATATTGAAATGCATTTCTTGTATTACTAGCAACAAAGCATTAGTAATAAAACTAATGAAACAGAGCTAAATACTTTTTGCACCCCCAAAATCCTACTTAGAGGAATAACTATTCTGAAGCAGAAGCTGCCCAAAGCCTTTCAAAAAAGAACAGAAATGTATGTTTTGCACTTGTAGTACAAGGACAGAAGGCATACAAAGGAAGGTGCTCAAGTCCATGAGACTAATTGTGCATACAGAACACCAAGCAATTTCTCAAGAATCTGCTTCTATACTACTACTGGTGCACTCACACAGAACAGTGAAAGATGTTTTACTGCCAATGTTAAAATTACTTCCCACAATAACTCTTCCATAAAGATAGACTCACAAACACACTTTTTATATTATAGTCAAACATTTTGTCTGTTGTATTTTACTGACCATGCACCAAGCTGTTTGTAGGAGAAACCAGAGTGTCCCAAAGGCAAATATTTCTATAGGAAAAAAAAAACAAACAACTTAATTCAGCAACAGATGTTCTAAGGTATTTTTAACTCTTGAAAAGTCATCTGTACCTTAAAAAGGTTGTTTCAGGCATTAAGCACTGTAAATAGACTCTCAATGATGATGTCTGAGCAGCACTCAAATTACTTCCAAAGTTTATCATACACTGCAAGAAGATGCCTTCTACACAATTATTCTACAACTGGCTATTTCCATAAAGCATTTATGTTAACAATCTTTTGTAGCTTAATTAGAAGGAATGTTACCAGGTTTTGGTGGTTTTTGATCAATACTGACTTATGAAGAAAAATGAGAAATTAAGAGCTATGCAAATTCCCTAGAGCTATAAAAATAATTTATGACAGGTTCATGTGCATAGAGCAGAATAGAATAGCTCAGCTGGAAGGGGCCTAGAAGGATCATGCAATCACCCATCTGACATCTCCAGGGCTGACCAGAATTTAAAGCAGGTCCAAATGCCTCAAATTCTGACAGGCTTTGGGGACTGACCTCAAAGAAGGCTGTTCTAGTGTCTGAACCTCTTGGTAATAAAATGTTTCTTGATGTCCAGTCTCATGCCAGACCTCCCCTGGCACAGCTTTAAACCATTCCCACACACCCCTCACTGGATTCCTGGCCAAATCACTCAGGACCTCCTTTTCTACTTCTCCTCCTCATAGGGAACATGAGCAGTATATTTGTGTATATAAAGAGGTAAACAAACTTTAAGAGAAGTAGGCTTCCCCATGGAGCCTCCCTTAACAGGCACACGAATTTAGCTGCAAACATGGCTTCTGTCCATCTCCTACCAACAAAGAAATCCAGCAGAAGTACTCTTAAACTGCTTAAGAAGAATCATTAAAAAAACCAAAGTGCAGGAAAGGAGAGAAAATATGGCTCCACTTAACTTTTATGAATTATCATGCTAGATCTTACCTGTTGTCAGAAGAAAATCCTGCTGTAGCTATCAAAGATGATGAACTGATGAAAACAAAGTCATTGGCTGTTTTGTTATGACATTGCCATGTCTGAAAAATTGCAGTTAGAAATCATTAATTTAAAAGGAATCTATTATGTGCAAGCAGGCAATATTAAACTTCCTTGAGAAGACAAGTTGTTTCATAAGAAATTTAAGGAACATAGGATACAAAGGTATTGGTATGCCTTGTAAGACTCTTAATTTTTCATGGAAATATACTCTGCAACCCTATGTAACTGTCCATTAATTGAGAAGTGACAATTATTGACAAGTCTTAATGAACATTAAAGTTATTTCATATCTCATGTTACATTTTCAACTCTCTGCTTAACAAGCATTATTAGACTGTAAGAACCTGTCATGCAGACCACAGGATGGCAGCAATACATAACTTAATCTTGATTAATACTGGTTAACATCACAATCCTTGCCCCCTTCTAGCTATTCTGAAGGGAGAAAGAAGTTGGGGAACACAGTGCAAATTTATGGAAACTAATTTATTATTCAGCTTACCAAATATGGCTTAGGTGAAGTTCCAGTAAGTGGACAACATTTCCAATTTGTCTGATATAAACTTATATATCCATCAGCATCAACAATTCCAAACTGAAAGAAAATATGCAGTAATAGTAAATACATAAGTAAGTATTGCAGAGAAAACACCCGCAATTTTGAGAAAACACATTAAATAAGAAGCATGTGATGTTTCTGCTAATTTGCAATTATATTGGGGGAGGGGAAAAGAGAAGAGAAAGCATACAGAAGCATTTTGTCAGTTACCTTATTTCCTTGGTAATTGAATCGCATTCGAGTTACCCTTGAGTTGCCACCAGATCGAAAACATGTGATCTGCTGTGCATGACCCCATTCAAACATTCTTACACTTCCATCTTGAGCACCCGTCAGATCTGCAACAGAAAGTATTTACATGACCTTTCAAAAGTGTTGCAGCTTTTTTAACTTCAGGAAAACTCACGCTATCTCAAAATAACCAGTGCTAAAATTACGCCATAGTATCTGTCTTGGTGTAGGTGCAGGATGTACTACTGCAACTTAAAGTCATGTTACTCATTATTTGATCAAGATTTGTGTTTAGATGCTCATGAAATATGAAGCTATTTACTTGGAGATAGTAACACATCTTTCCTACTATCTTTCATTTTAGTCACAAATAAGAGACAAATACAGTATTTTTTCCCGTTTATAAAGGCTATTCTACAACCCCCAATATTGTTTTATAAAATGAAAAATAGTTTCACTAAGTATGCCTTATAAAGAACTTTCAAAACATATAACAGATTGTTGTTCTAGTATAAAATAGCAACGCACTAAGAAACAGATGAGTAATAAATATATAATCTTTCTATAACTTTTCTGGTTTTTGTAAGAATCGAACTCACAATATGGCAGTGTTGGATGAGAAGCCATTCTTCTGACATTATTAATAGCTTTCTTGAGCATCTGTTCAACACACAACAAAATAGAAAAAAAACAGTATTACTGAACAAAAAGTTATCAAACTAGAGAATAATTAGTGATTGCAGAGAGTTGTTTCCTACCAAAATTCCTACAAAAACAAGTACTGGGTTTAGAGATTCAGATAGGAGTCTGTATCTTCCAAGACTAGTGTAGATGTTAGCATTTATGCAGCTTTATACATCTAGATAAATATTAAACTTTTGCTTCAGAAATTTATGGATCCAAATATAAACACTCCTTAGACTGCAGTCTTACCTCTTTTCTTGCCAATTCCTTTCTGACTCCATTAAATTTATTGGAATATTCCTGAATATTGTAAGATAAGCAAGAGAAAGGCAGAAGCATGTAAAGAAAGAGGTAAACAAACTTTAACAGAAGTAGAAAGTAGGAAGGAATATATCTATTTTCAAGTCTAGTTAACTTATTGCCATTGATTGAAAAGTGGCTACTTGTGACCATCCAGAATAAGCAATATACTGTGTAACTGGTATAAAATAAGTAAATAAATAAAAAAATTCTTCAAATGTATTTGTAATTTTGCGAATACAGATCCAATGAATTTTCAGTAGCATGTTTGTTCCTAAATTCCAAAACTGGCTTTGAGATAGGCATATCATCCAGATTTTTGTTATCTCTTATTTTATTAATTCCTACTGAGAAGAACTCAATGTGCAAAGAGGATTGGAGACATTAAACAATTACATTTAACCCCCATCTATTTAAATTATATGTTCAACACACAAAAAGGAAAAAAAGAGTAAGGATTTTTTAATCAAGGAAATATATCTGTGCCTGTGTTGTCTCTTCCCTTCTTTTCTTTCTATTAATGTATGTTAAAGTTAAGTTTTCATTATTTTACTCCCCAATAGCTCTCAAAAGTATCTGACTTTTTTGAGGACCCTCTTTCCTCAGAGAATTGTTGGATTTGGTTTGATCATACACCTCTTATTTACCTCAACATTTGAGAAGGGAAAAATATATATTTATGGCAGATGTTAATTTCAAATGAGAACACATACGAAATTTTGCTGCCAGGGCACTCATCTTCAACACAGCAGCTTATTGCTTACCACCCACCAACAACAAGCTGGTACTGACCCACTTTCAGAGAAACATTTAGGTCAGAAATGTTTAACATCACTGAACCCAACTGTGACTTTCAACTGCTGTAATTTTGTACAGTATTTTAACACTGCTTTCTTATGGGGCAGTAGATAGTGATGAGATATTTCAATTATGCCATTCTCCCCTGGCCTCCAATTATATCAGGGTGTCAACTGGAAGGAGGCAGGAATTACAAATTTTCAGG